TTGAGCAGACACTAAGTTTCATGAAAAATGGAACCAAACTGTTTGTATTCAAGTCACCTCCCTTTTCACAATTTGCTTTCCTGTAAATAGACAGAGATATGGATGTGTTCACAACATTCAGTCAGGTTAGAGCATGATTTTTCAAACATGTATGCTTAGTTAATAGCAATGGTGGTGATGGAGGCCAACGGCAGGTTACTTCCTCTGCTATTGATAATTTTCAAAAATGTTCTGTAAATAGGGCATTTGTTTCCCATGCAATATTCTCTACAAGTTTTTAACAAAATTACTGCAGCTTGTCTTGGACATCTGATTTAAAAAAAACATTCCATGCAGATTTTTTTAAGGGCAATTGTGTCAGTTGGTAAGTAGATAACTATCCTTACCTTTTGTGTCACTTTACCCCACTCCCTCTAGCATGTAAGCTGATTGAGCAGGGCCCTCAACCCCTCTGTTCCTGTGTGTCCAACTTGTCTGGTTACAACCACATGTCCGTTTGTCCACCCATTGTAAAGCGCTGCGGAATTGATGGCGCTATATAAATAATAACATAATAATAATAACATATTAATAAGTCCCTAATTTGGTACCTTTCATTATGGCAATCCCACATAAGGAAACCAAATTAGGAAGCTTTCTACCAAGGTCAAAATTACAGGGAATAAAAGCTATTTTCTTATTTTTGTGCTTTACGTGCTTAAGAGATAAGCCCCTAACTTGCTATCATTATGAAACAGAGTGGATCTGAAATAAAATAGTATCAATTAGTTTTTTAATTTGTTTGTTTTTTTGGTTTGTAAAGAAATTCAGATTCTCCTGAATTGACGAAATCGTCAGAATTAAAATTCTAAATGAAATGAATTGCATGTGTCTTTTATACAATATACTTCCTGAAAACAGAGGAAACTCACACAGATCTTCGTATGATTTTTACCACACATTTGATGTTGGTTTTTAGGCTGCTGATGTTTGATATTAGAGATTAATGCAACTCCTGCAGTAGTAAGGTTCATACAGGGGCTTTCTCCATTCTGAACATCTGATGATTATCCAGGGCCCATGACTCCATTGCTTCTAGTCCAGGACTCCAAAGCTATAAGGGAACAAGTTAAATATTGTACGTCAGGGTTATAAATGCAAAGAGGAGTTTGGGGGTAAATGCTAAATGTAGCGTAATCAATTGGACTAAAAAGAAATAAGCCCTGTTTTCAAAATTCCACTACTCATGGGTAAGAGCAATGGTCACCGTATTCATCAGCACAAATACATTTTAAAAAAATGAAAAAGAAAAAACAGGAAAAATCACTACATACATTAAACATCAATTCTTTAATACTTTTTGGACTCACTTTTTTTCACTTACTTCTTTCATACCTTTTGCCACACTCTTGAACACATATCTTCACTATGGGTATCTGGAGTGTCACAATATTATATCATGTGCAATGTTTTTTTATTTTTATTGTTAAGAACAAGCACTCTTTATCACTTTCTGCATTACTTTATTTTCTTACTTTACTTATTTAAATTTGATCCTTTAAGATGCTTTCCTAAACAAGGATCTTTACATTTTCAGCGTTTTAACTTGTAACTTGTAACTTGTGTTACATTTATTATTTTACTGGTTTGCATGTTTCTTTCGCCCTTCATGTTGGTATAGTGATATAAATCTTTGGACTATGGTTAGAAACCTTGACAAGACACCTTGACACTCAACACTTAACACTTAATACTTGATTCATTCATTTGAATTGTTTCTTGGGAAACGGGACGCACATCTCCTATAGCGTTGTCCTAGACAACATGCACAGTCATCGACAGGTTTGTCCACATTGGATTACACAAATAAGTGATCATTTATAGTGACTTGGGGTCACTGCTCTTGCTGGAAATGGTAAGTACACACTATTGATTTAATTGCTATGTGGCGAATACAAATCAGTAATATTTGTATGTATCTTAATAAAGACCCTGAGAGGATAAAAACGTTGATCAAATGAGGATTTGTGTGCTCTCTTTTTTTCATGTGTGTATATATATATATATATATATATATATATATATAAATATATAAAAACATATACATAAATATTCACATGAAAAAAGAGCACATATATATATTTACAAATATATATATCAACCTGCATTTGGAAAAAAAGGGCTTAGATAAAGAATATTTACAAAAAAAAAAAAAAAATTACAGTTCAGCCATTTAGCCTAAAAGTTTTTTTTAAAGTATTTAATAGTTATGGTATTTATAAATGTAAGAAAACATATGGTGGATGTAAATAGTTTTTGTTGCAAAGTTGTAATAACTAATAATTTATGATAATTTTACTGTAATATCTGAATTTATATCATGCCATTATTGTATTTTTATTGGACTTGTGTTTTCTAGATTTCATTGTCGTCTCTGATTTATTGTATCCAACAGATATGAAAATTATCTGCATTCTACGCAGTAATTTACATTGTCTACAGCAAATAAAAAGATAAGTACAATCCATATTGCAAATGTATCTTACCTTGATTAATTTTCTGTCTTTTTATCTGTTTCAGTAAAATTTATATTACCATGAAGATAGTCTACAGTGTGACTAACGTATTTATAATTGTATTTAAATTTTAAACCCAAGCTGCATCCAGAAGTAGGCTTTGAGCATTCATTATTGTCCCCTCAATATATCTCATATGCCGTAGTTTAAATATTAATATGGCTTACAATATCACGAAAACACAGAAAGTATTTTATGCTGTTAAAAATGTATTCCTGAATTCTGAGCTAAATCAACTTAACAGCACTGAATACAATAAAAGCATTCCTAGTGACCAAACAAATAATGTTGTCTTCATAATAGAAAAATAATATGTAATTGAAATGACAAAGGTTGCCAGACTCAAAGAAAAACCGTTATTAAAGTATCTTGGTTTGTAACAATCTTAATGCATGTGATATATTTTATAAAATAAAAATAAATATACATTATATACTTTATAAACGAAACACTGACTTTTCTCAAATACAGCCCTTATTAAATAGAAATCCAAATCCCATGAACAACTACAAGCCAACATGTCTGTATTGAAAAGATGGGCTTTAGTTCAGGTGTCCTTACAGGATAAAAGGTTAAATAGAAACAAGTTATAAATTAGATGAGCTTGTGGCTTCAAACAGCTGTTGCTTCATGTTGTCTCAAAGAATTCCTTGGGAGCTTATCAATTAAACATTTGCACACATTTTTCACAATTTGTACCATTTTACATCCTCAACTGCTCTCTCTCTTCTGGTGTTGTCCATGCTGCCCTTAAACATGCTACTGTAGTATCCATCTTAAAAAAAACATCTCTTGACCCGTCCGCCCGTTTCCCCCCCTTCTAACTATCATCCCATATCCCTGCTCCCTTTTTCCTCAAAGCTTCTGGAAAGACTGGTCTTTACCCGTCTGACTTGTTTCCTCAATTTCAACTCTCTCCTTGACCCTCGTCAGTCTGGCTTCTGCCCCCTCCACACTACTGAGACTGCTCTTATTGAAGTCACTAATGACCTTGTTATTGTTTAGCCGTTTAGTATGGACGTATGGACTATAGCACGTAGTACATCTGTCAGTCACTGCCCCTCTGAGCTCCAACAACTTCATGTTCGTGGCTTCAGTGACCTCATCTATCCATCTCTGTCTCTGTCATCCCCTTCTTCGTGTGCCTTCCATCTTTCCCAGCATCAGAGTCTTCTCTAGAGAATTCTGCCTTCTCATTATATGGCCAAAATATTTGAGCTTCAGCCTCATGATCATAGCTTCCAGTGAACAGTTTGTCTTGATTTCCTGTAATACGGATTTTTTTGGATCTTCTTGCAATCCAAGGGATTCTAAGCAGTTTTCACCAACACCACAGTTCAAAGGCATCAATTCTACGATGCTCAGCCTTCTATATAGTCCAGCTCTCACATCCGTATGTTACTACTGAGAATACCATAGTTCTGACTATGTGGACCTTTGTTGATAGTGTAATATCTTTAGTTTTTACCAGCTTGTCCAAGCTTGCCATAGCTTTCCTCCCCAGAAGCAAATGTCTTTTAGTTTCATGACTACAGTCACCATCTGAAGAGACCTTGGATCCCAGGAAAAAATAACATCTGTCACTGCCTCCACTTTTTCCCCATCTATTTACCAGGAACTAAGATTGCTGTTTGCCATTATCTTAGTATTTTTAACGTTAAGCAGCAAGCCAGCTTTTGCACTCTTCTTTTACCCTCTTCAACAGGTCCTTTGTTTCTTCCTCACTTTCAGCCATCAGAGTGGTATCATCTGCATATCTGAGGTTGTTGATATTTCTTCCAGCAATATTGATTCCAGCTTTGGATTCATCCAGCTCAGCCTTACGCATTATGTATTCCGCATATAAGTTAAATAAATAAGGTGACAATATACAACCTTTTTGCACTCCTTTCCCAATCTTAAACCATTCTGTTGTCCCATGTTCAGTTCTGACTGTGGCTTCTTGGTCCACATATAGCTTCCTCAGGAGACGGATGAGATGATCTGGTACACCCTTCTCTTAAGAACTTGCCACATGTTGTTGTGATCCACACAGTCAAAGGCTCTAGAATAGTCTATGAAGCAGAAGTAGGTGTTTTTCTGGAACTCTCTGGCTTTCTTGATTATCCATCGTACATTGGCAATTTGATCTCTTGTGCCTCGTCCTCTGCAGAACCCAGCTTGTACATCTGGTAATTCCCAGTCCATATATTGAGCTTGTAGGATCTTAAGAATTACCTTACTGGCATGTGAAATTAGTGCAATTGTTCGATAATTGGAGCACTCTTTGGCATTGCCTTTTTTGGGGATTGGGGTGTATACTGACCTTTTCCAGTCTTTTGGCCACTGTTGAGTTTTCCAAATTTGTTTGCATAGGGCAAGCAGAATTTTCACAGCATCATCTTGCAGAATTTTGAATAGTTCAATTGGGATTTAATCAACTCCTGCAGCAGTGTTATCTGCATCCTAGGGCCCATCTCACTTCACTCTCCAAGATTTCTGGTTCAATCTCATTGGATTAACTATTGAGGTCATCACTGCTGTTAAGATCCTTCCTGTATAGATCGTCAGTGTATTCCTGCCATCTTTTCTTTAACTGATCTTCTTCTGTTAGGTCCCTGCCATTTTTGTCCTTTATCACACCCACTTTGGCATGAAAGGTAACTTTAAGTTCCCCTAGTTTCTTGAATAGATCTCTTGACTTTCCCATTCTGTTATCTTCTTCTATCTCTTTACATTGCTCATTGTAGAATGTCTCCTAGTCTCTTCTTGCTATCCTTTGGAATTCAGTTGGACACATTTTTCAGTTGGATCTTTCGATTTCCTTCTTTTCTGTGCTATTTTTAAAGCCTTATCAGATAGTCAGTTTCCCTTCTTAGATTTGTTTCTTTTGGGGATATTTTTTCTCGCGGTTTCCTGGATAATATTGCAAACTTCGGTCCAAAGTTCTTCAGGCATTCTATTGTCCATGTCTAGTCCCCCAAATCTATTCTTTACTTCCACTGCATATTCACAAGGGATATTATTTATGCCGTATATGATTGGTCTGATGGTTTTCCCTCTTTTCTTCAGTTTAATTCTGAACTTTGCAATGAGAAACTCATGGCCCCAGCCACAGTCAGCTCCAGGTCTTGTTTTTGCTGACTGTATAGAGCTCCTCCATCTTTGGCTGCAAAGTATATAGCCAATCTGATATCTATATTGTCCATCTGGTGATGTCCATGTGTAGAGTCGTCTCGGAGGCTGTTGGAAGAGGGTATTTGCTATGACCAGAGAATTATCTTGACAGAATTCTACTAATCTCTGACCTGCTTCATTTTGAACTCCAAGGCCAAACTTGCCAGTTATTCCAGGTGTCTTTTGGTTCCCTACTTTAGCATTCCAGTCTCCTATGAGGATAGCAACACCTTCTCTTGGTGTTATATCTATCATGTGTTGAATATCTTCATAGACTGGACAATATCAGCCTCTTCAGCATCCATGGTTGGAGCTCAAGCTTGGATCACTGTGATGTTAAATGGTTTGCCTTGAATTCGAATTGAAATCATTCTGTCATTTATTGGGCTGTAGCCAAATACTGCTTTGCTCACCGGATCATTTACTATGATGGCTACTCCATTTCTTCTGTGGGATTCTTGACCACAGTAGAATATGTGATGGTTGTCTGATGTGAAATGTCCCATTCCAGTCTATTTGAGTTCATTAATTCCCAGGACATCGATGTTTAATCTCATGTGTGATCACATCCAATTTGCCTTGGTTCATAGTTCTTACATTCGAGGTTCCTATGATAAATTGTTCTTTGCAGCAGCGGACTTTCCTTTCCCCTCCAAACACATCCGCAGTGTCGTGTCCTCTCGGTTTTGGCCCAACTACTTCATTAGATCTGGTGCTACTCGTAATCGCCCTCTGCTCTTCCTCAGTAATGTGGTAAGCACCTTCTGACCTGAGGGGCTCATCTTCCAGTGCCATATCGTTATGTCTCTGGTTGTGCTTGTCCATATAGTTATCTTAGCAAAGTTACTGGAGAGTGGGTTGCTAGTTCCTTCTCCAGTGGACAGCGATTTGTCTGACTTCTCTGCTCTGACCTGCCCATCTTGGGTACCCCTACATGGTATAGCTCATAGCTTCATTGAAGTGCACTAGCCCCTTCACCATGGCCAGGTACTAATGACCTGATCACAGCTAAATCCAAAAGGCACTACTCCATACTAATTTTTCTTGATCTCTCTGCTGCCTTTGACACTGTTGACCATGTTTTCCTTCTCCAAACTCTTCAATCACTCGGTCTCTGTGACCCATCCTTGCCAGCATTCTGTCTTGCGTTAAACTTGATTCTGGCCTCACATTTGAGCCTCACAAACACTCTATTCTCTCCTCCAGCTCTGCTTCACTCCACCTTGTTTGACTGCTACCTCCTGTCCTGTTGTGTTTTACGCCCTACCTCCTATAGACTGTAAGCTCGTTTGAGGAGGGCCCTCTTCAACCTATTGTTTCTGTAAGTTTTTGTAATTGTCTCATTTATTGTTAAATCTCCCCCTTTGATAATATTGTAAAGCACTACAGAATATATATATGAATATGAGCTGGTATGAAGTACCAGTACCAGTGTCTAGTACATACTGTATGAAGTGTCTAGTATATACTGTATGAATTGGTGTGAAGACATAGCGCTTTATATGTGTCCACTATGTATATATATATATATGTGGATTTACAGCTAGGCTGACAAGGCATTTGCCTTGGGCGGCACTTTCTGGGGGGCGGCAAAAAAAGCCCCCCCCCCCCCCCAAATTGCTCTGGCAAATGCAGGAGCTGGCCAATTCAGGGCCCCCCGAGGCTGGCAGCGGCGGCACTTTCCGGGAGGTGGCGAGGGAGCACTGATCCTCTTGCCTTCGCGCACACTGCAGTGATGCCGGAGCCTGAATAGGACGTCACTCCGGCCCCGGCATCACTACGCAGCACGCAAGGGAGCTGAACAGGAGGATCAGTACTCCCTCGCCGACTGCAGTGACAAGCCAGCTGTCCAGCAGCCCCACTGAACCGCAGGGAAAGCAAGAATCCACGCCAGCACTCCCAAAGGCTGGGAGGATTTAATATTAAAAAAAATGTGAGTGTGTTTGTTTGTGTGTGTGTGTGTGTCTGATAGGGAGTGTGTTACTATGTGTGTGTCTGTTAGTGTGTGTGTGTGTGTGTGTCTATTAGTGAATGTGTTAGTATGTGTGTGTTTGTTAATGAGTGTGTGTCTATTAGTGACTGTGTGTGTCTGTTAGTGAGTGTGTGTGTGTGTGTGTGTGTGTCTGTTAGTGAGTGTGTATGCATGTCTGTTAGTGAGAGTGTATGTGTGTCTGTTAGTGAGTGTGTGTCTGTTAGTGACTGTGTGTGTGTGTCTGTTAGTGACTGTATGTGTCTGTTAGTGAGTGTGTGTGTCTGTTAGTGAGTGTGTGTCTGTTAGTGAGAGTGTGTGTTGTCTGTTAGTGAGTGTATATGTGTCTGTCAGTGAATGTGTGTGTCTGACACTGAGTGTATATTTGTCTGTCAGTAAGTGTGTATGTGTATTTAGAAAGTGGGGCGGGGGGAGGGGGGTGCCTGAGTTTTGTCATGCCTAGGGCAGCACAAAACCAGGATACACCACTGTACATATGCACTATATACGAGTTGGTGTGAAGACACAACGTCAGTATATGTGTCCACTATACACCGATCAGCCACAACATTAAGCCAACTTCCTAATATCGTGTTGGTCCTTCCTGTGCTGTTAAAACAGCTGTGATGTGTTGAAGCATCGACTCTTCAAGACCTTTGGACGTGTCCTGTGGTGTCTTGCACCAAGACATTAGCAGCAGATCCTTTAAGTCACACATTTTGTGAGGTGGAGCCTCCATGAATTTGTTCTTCCAGCACATCTCACAGATGCTCAATTGGATTGAGATCTTGTGAATTTGGAATGCAATGCAACACCTTGATCTCTTTGTCCTGTTCCTCAAACCATTCCTGAACAATTTCTGCTGTCTGGCAGGGTGCATTATCCTGCTAAGAGGCCACTGTCATCAGGGAACACCATTGCCATGAAGGGGTGTACGTGGTCTCCAGGCACATGTCAATTTAGCAATCACATGAAAGCCAGGACCCACGGTTTCCCAGCAAAACATTGCCCAGAGCATGGTGTCTGGAAGTTATGCTTATAACAAGGTTCTGATTTGAAAGTGCAATCCATTGAATATGTCCTTTAATGCCCTTCTCTAATATACAAGAAATAATCAATGGATGGCATTTTAAAATCAGAACCTTGTCATAAACATACCTGCCAGACACCAGGCTGGAGCGAGTCATGAAATTCCACACAGTGAAGAATGAAATCAGACACTACTATCAAACATGGAGGAGAAATTAATTTGAAAATCAGGACTGTGTTAACACATGGGCGCACAGGGCAGATGCCACGAGCATAGGGGCCCCATAGGCTTGCCAAACTTTCAGTATATTATTCTGGGAGATTTATTCAGAACCTTGACCTTCTGGGGGGCGGGGGTGAGGAATGCCTAAATATTAATTTTTTTTATTTCTAGACTGTGGCTTTATGTTTTAATCAATTTTCTTTCCTTTCTAACAGTAATTTGTCTTGTATTAGTCTAGACATGTGAATATCAATCATGGAATCGTATTCCTTTATAGGCCTGGTTATCATGACCTTAATTGCTACCTGGAACTAAAATTCTCCAGGGAATTCCATATATTTTAATATTACAGCAACCTGACCAGCAACCTCTAGCGCATAATAATTTGTCTGAGCAGATAATTTGACAATATCCTTTTGATTACTTCTTTGGCTTTTTGATAAGTTTTATTAGGTTTGTGCAGCTCAATAATGTTTCATATAACTAGTAGCTGTATTTGAACTCTGTCACTCCCGATATATAATCTGCTTGGGTATTACTCATAAGTAAATGCTTCCATGTTTGATCAGGAATAAGGAAAAATTGTTTCATACTTACCATAATTTTCTTTTCCTGATCATTAAATGGCAGCATTACCGTCCCACCCATCAATTATGAGAGTTGTGTAGCTAGTTACAAAGACTGCCTTCTGGGGAGAGGATCTGTTTATCCCAATTTCAGAGTTATATTACCTGTCCTTGCTGCTGTTAATGGAGGCGCTAGCCCATCCGTAAATGTCCCTGTAATAATGATCAGAAAAAGAAAATTACGGTAAGTATGGAACAATTTTCCTTATTATCTGCAGTCAAATGGCTAGCATATCATATGTGGCAGTAGATTTATATGTTCTTGAGATTAAGCAAGATATCTTCATAATTCAGCCAACCCTTGAATGAAGCAGCCAAAAGGTGGACTCCTAACTCATGATAAACTACATCTCCAGTATTGCGTAGCTACTCTTTTAAGTTAGATTACAGTCATGAGTGCTGTATTTCTATAGTTAGGAAATCTGCCACTTAGCCACCCCTGCTTGACAGGTTATAGAAGAAACATATATATGCCATCTCATATACTTTGGGTCATGGTGGGAAGAAAGGGTGTAAATAAACAATCAACCACCACAGAGTGGGAAAAGCAGAAGACCATTTGGCAGGTTCTTCCTTCATGTGGTCTCTGGACCACCAATTAATTAATTAATTAATTCTAACTATCCAGCTCAATGGTGATGGGTGGT